GTGTGTGTATGCGTGTATATGTACAAATGAGTTTACTAATTCCTCGTAGTAAGACAATATATGTATGGAGGGGGAATATACGCACGCATATATACACGCATGCTGACAGGAACACACGAAAATGGAAACAGATCCAAGAACACATAGGGGTCAGTAAAACATTAAAAGATAAAATGCCGATAAGGAATTCATCATTTCGCTTGGACCAACCTTAATTGTTTTATGACCCTTCGCGCAGAACTCTTCATTGCCAATTCAAGAAAGAAATTCGGATTACTAACACAGAAAATGTCTCATATCCAGAATATTTAACATTGAAAAACAAAAGAAAAATTAATTATTTTTAATAATATGTGGAAATCTGCACTTTTACCTGAAGACAGTCACGAGACCAGAAACACGTGTAGTACGATTATGTAAAACAAAGCACCGAAGGTCTTCAGAGCGAGTATAGTTTCTTATACTTATAAGATCTCTATAAATGATATATATATATATATATATATATATATATATATATATATATAATATATAAAGAGGGGGAGAGAGAAGCAGAAAGGAACTAGATAAAAGACATGATCATATATATATATATATGAGCAATTACGTATACATACAAATAATAGTTAAGCCTTTCACACTCTGAGTCGTACTGTAAAAGGTAGGTATATGGGGTAATATATATATATATATATATATATATATATATATATATATATAAAGGCAAAAGCAAAGCTTATCGTAACAGATACGTTTTGTCTTTTTTTTGACTTTATTGCAAATGTAAGTATTTTATTTTATGACAAGTATTTTATAGAGAAAACCAAAATATTGCTTTCTACAATTTTTTTGCGAGATATATATATATATATATATATATATATATATATATATATATATATATATTTATCATATATATTGTTCTTTGTTCACACATACATACACACATATATATATGCCTGTGTGTGTGTGTTTGTGTGTGTGTATTCATATAATTTGCCTTGTAAAAATATTATCCGCACTTGAAATTTTTCACGTTATAGTTTTACCAACGTGAATTCGAATTGATATAAATGGTCTTTTTACCATTTCATTCACATAAAATGAACCGTTATTTGAAGGTGAAACACACATTTTATTGTGACAACAAAAATCGATACTAAAACAACAAAGTAATTATTACTTGAATGCATAGATTCAGTAGTTCATAAACTATAAATTATATTGTTGGCTCTATGAACCCAAAATTTCCAACTCTTGCCGCAGATTCTCAATTGGATTTAAGTCTGGGCTTCGACTGAGTCATTCTAAAACATGCTTTGGTCTAAACTATTCCAATGTTGATCTGGTTGTATTGTTTAGAATGTTGCCCACTGCTATGTGAACATCCACTCCAATGTCAATTCTTTTGCAGATTTTAACGGCTTTTCGTCGAGGATTGCCCGGTATTTGTTTGTATCTTCCAAGAAATTCTAACCAGCTTCGCTGACCTTACTGCTGAAAAGCATCCCCCCTACGATGATCCTTCGGTGATAATGCGCTCAGACTGATGTGTTTGTCTTCTGCCAAACGTCGCGTTTTGCAATAAGGCCCAAAAGTTCACCTTTGTTCTGATCTGACCCGAGTCTCTTCTTCAACATATTTGCTGTGTGTCTACACAAGGGTTATGACAAACTGCAAATTGGACATCTTATCGCTTAATTGCAATAACGGATTTCTCTTTAATGCTCAGAAGTGTGTATAGCGATCCTGTGAATAATTTATGTGTAGCATAATTCTAATATTTTATGTGGGAATCGGATGATAATGTGTATTCGGTTGTTTGTTTGTGTGCCTGTGTGAGAGAGAAAAAGAGAAAAAGAGAGAGAGCGCGGGCATGCAATAGGCATTTTTCCATGTTTGGTGAAAGTGTGTGTCATAGAAATATCACACACACACACACATGAATTATACAGACGTACGCTGCTTGACAAGACAGATGTACGTGAGATTTGCTTAACCAATTCAAAAAAGATGTCAAAAATGAAAATAACAGAATTTTCTTTTATCCTCCATATTCAGTTTTTGATGGATCTTTAATAAACGCGAAACATCTTAGATTTATAAACGTTTCCCATTTCTTCCTTATCATACCATATATAGGAGGCATGGTGGCGGAATGGATAGCCTATGGATTGAGGAATCGCAGAGCCGAGTTCGAATTGCAGTCGAATCCATTACATTCACTTACTTGCTAATACCCTTGGAAAAGGTATGAATCCTCTTCTTCTCCCTTCAGCTATGGGTAAATAGCAACACAGACTGGATTCTATAGCCTTGGATGGCAACTGGTCTAGAAGAAGGACAACTCTGAATTCAAAACCTGAGTAGGGTCGTTTGGAAACCTTGTGGCACGTAGTGCACCAGGACTCTGTATTCGGCCCTTCAAAAAGTGTGGATGCTCCTGCACGAAACCTTCACCACTATAATCAAATCTCATGTGCTGTTGTCGGGCTGCTTG